TTGCTAGTGCTTCTAGTCTTGTATGATGAGTCTTTAAAAGTCCCATTTTCCTTGGAGAACGCAAAAAAATGGATTTGGACCGGTAATCCAAATTTTTATACCTGATCATGTGGCTAAGGAACTTTTATACTTCTTATTCGAGTAAACAACCTTAATTTAGTTATTACTAATAGTTTTTCATGATGTTAGATTTATCTTTAGAGAAGATACATAGCCTGAAAACTGAATCTTGAGCGTAAGGAGTACTTGCAAAAGGATTGCGCTTCTCACCTTTTAAAAGCCTTTGAGGACTTCATATACTGATATTCTAAATCAGCATATTGGACTCTATCAACAAACATACATTTCAACGAAACCAAGGGTAAAAAGTTTTCCAGAGATCCCTGTGGGGGGCCCCAGGTCCCAAAAACCTTTTGGTCAGTTTTTCAAAATTTGACCCCTGGAATATCATCAGGCATCATGTCTGACTGTAAATCGATAAAAAAAAGTCAATTTTGTTGGGGGCAGAAAAATAGCCTTATCGGCCCTAGTCCTTCACAAAAAGACTTTAGGAACTATTTCAAAAAATAATATTGAAAATCTTCCGAAAGCAAGCATTTTATAAAAATTTCTTGAATGTCTACTATAGATTGTATGATATTTACTTCATCAAGAATAATCAATGAATTTGGTGTCATACAATTAAGAATAAATGCAATATGATTGATTTCAGATGAAAATGTTGATTGTCCGGTAAATAAATTATCATGTTGACGAATTTTTGAAAAAATTTCATTAACCTAAAAAATCTTTGCTTCGGTTCAAAAAATACAAAACATCAATTTTATTTACTATTCGAAATCTAGCTTGTTCAGCAGGTACAAAACAACCTTTAAATAGACAAAAAAAAATTTCAATATTTTCTTTGTCTTTTTTTATTACCAATTTGAGCTAATATTTGTAATAAAGCTATTTGTCGTAGATATGTTGATTTTCCACTCATATTTGGTCCCGTAACAAGAATAATATTCATTTCTTTACATAATTCAATATTATTTGCAATTGGTTTTTGTTGACCAAATAAATCAATAACTGGATGACGTGCTTTGATTATTTTTGTATTTAGTCCAAACATAGGTCGAACATAATCACGTGCTTTTGATACTTCAGCAAATGATTGAATCATATCGATAATTGATATTGCTTCAATAAGTTTGTACATACAACCAAAATGTGGTCGAATTTTTGCAAGAAGAATTAAAATAATTCTAAAGTAGAAAGAAAATAAAATTGAAAAAACTCAAGGCACACACTGACAAATCACATACTAGTCATTAAAGTAGTCACAACTTAGTCACTATGCTATCAAACAAATGTTAGCGACTGATTTAGAATCACTGCATGGTTGACGATACCACGGATTTGAACAAAATATCTATTAGATACGTGCCGAACTCCATAGCCGCTCAACCATGATGGTCTTATTCCTATCGAGATTTGACTAAGTTATCAAATTTTTAATATGTCTACTTTCTTAGGGCTCCCAGACGTTCGGAAAATTTGTATTTTCGAATTTTTGTCTGAAACTTAATTGTGTACATAGACAACTCAAATCAAGTAACTTTCTTAAAAAAAAACTCAATAGTTTTGTACAAAGTTACGAGGTCCGCTTATTAGTTCTTCCGAGAAAAATATAAAAACATTTTATTTTTATCTTACTGATCTGTTAGAAGACATATATCATTATATAAAAGTTCAAATCGATCAGATAGATGAGCTAATTGAAGTGTTGTAATAAATGTTGATTTTTGTTTTTTAGCTACTGATACAACATTAGCTGGTAAAACACCTTTAAATTCACCAATAATTTCCAATGAAAAACCACGTGTATTAGTTAAATTATACCGAACAGGCATATTAAATCGTTCAGAAAATTCTTTTTCCAATGCTGATTAAAGAAATAATTCACAACAATAAAATAAATTCATAAAATAAAACTTACATTCAACATCATCAATAACAACAATAACATCAGCACGAAGGCTATCAAGACGTTCATCAAAACCACTCTGAAAATATACAAAAATCACAATGAATTTGATAAATTATACTTTCTAACTAATAACATATGCAAACTTTGTCCATCTATTCTAAACAAAAACATTTTCTCTATTTAGTCTTTGATACATTTAAATTTCTGGATACTTCGTACTTTTTTCTGATCGAATATAATAGAGTTTTGCCGTCAGTTTTTCGAATATCTTAAATTTATTCATAAGTTCCTCATAATGCTTTATAATGATTGTTCGTTATGGTTAACAAGTAATAATAATTGCTGACATCATTCCATTTCTACTACTGAAACTCAGTGATATTACCAAGACTCTAACCTTCATTTCTTTGTTCACATGATTTTAGAATAGAGTTCTTAATTCAAAATTCAATTTTAATTTAATTAATAATTTACTCGTATAGAAAAAATTCGTCGAATCTTAGCCGCAAGAAATCCATTACTTGAAACAGTTTGTTCTGTTGTCAGTTGTGAATTAAGAATATCAAGTATAATTTGAAAACGTTGATCACTTAAAATCTAAAATTCATTTTTTATTTAAAACGAAAACAAATAAAAATGAAAATTTTTGTTTTTACTGAACAAAGATTTTTTAAAAGATCAGAAGTTGATTGTTCAAGTGCTTGTTGAAGTGTTGGTAATATATCAAGAATACGTCGAAGTTGATTTATCATTGTAATACGTTTTTCAGCAGCTGCTACTGTACGACTTGGATTTTCTTGTATACACGCAAGAATAATACCTGACGAAAAAACAAAAAAAAAATAATAAAATTTTTCATTAATCATTTTTTTTCTTCTTACGTTCAACATCAGTAAAATGTAATAGTATTGTTTGTACTTGAAACATTAATTTTTCATCATCAATTAAATTTTCAACTGCATCTTGTCGATAATGAATAGAATTAACATCTATTATATTCATACTTCTTTAAAAAAATGATGAAATTAAAAAACGATTTGTTATATCATACCAATCAAAGGTTCCATTAGATTTGCTCGTAATGTTCGACCACCCATTTTTGTTTTTGTTGCTTGTAAAATACTGTAAAGTGATTGAAAACCTGGTGCTAAACCACATTGATTTGAAGAAGCAAAATCAACAAGTATGCCTTAAATAAAAAAATATATAATGGTCGATTCGTCGATTTAACCATCTAAAAAGGACAAATGTATTATACAAAGACAAACATTATACATAAAATATTTCTTAAGCAATAATATATCACAAAACAAAAGTTTCAGTCAATTTCCTTTTTTTTTAATATCACAAATAAATATTATCATTTTTGTTTAAGTTTTCCACGTTCTTCAGTAAAAAAATCAAAAATTGCATCAATTGCTGTATGTGATGTCCATTCATGTACTGTATGACCTAAGAATTACATTAATAAATATTGTAAAATTCTTTTTATTTTGTTTTTATTAACCTGCAGATCGTATTTGACAACAATCATTTTCACCTAAATCAGTATCTACTTCTTCTGTATCAACAACCCAATTGATCATTCTCTGAAAGAAAAACAAAAGAAGCTTTTTTTTTTTTCATTTTTTCAATATTTTTATTAGAAAAATCTATAAAACCTGTTTAAGCATTTTTAAAACATTCTTCTTAACTCTTCGTCCATAGACTGTCATAGGTGAATCAGTTAATGCTACAGCAAAAACTCTTTTATCAAATTCTTTTAGAAAATGATGAGCCTAGACAGAAAAAAAACTGTTACCAAAAAGAAAAAGGAATTCAAAAGAAAAATCTATCATACCATTTCGAGTACTACAGCACCGCCATATGAATGTGCCATAATACAAATATGTTTAGCATGGCTTGGATGGATAAAATGTTCCCACACATAACATCCATGTTCTTCAGCTGTACTACTACCCTAAAAAATAAGGAAAAAAAACTCATACTTAATAAACAATAATTTTATATTGGTTTAATAACAATTTATGTTTATTTATTATAAACTAGACTGTATGAATATAAGATTTCTAAAAGTTATGCTATGATGACGATCATCACCGATCTTCGTTGGAGCTTTAAACTACGCTAAATATGCACGTATAGAAAAATGGTCAAAACGGTGAATGCATGATAAAACTCGCGTGATCCTGACCATATTTCGCTTTTTTTTGGTCGAAAAAAGTTTATTTTAAGAAGTTAGCTGAATATTATAAAACATGGCTAAAGTCAATAAAAACTAAGCGTCTGTCTTGAACTCAAACTTTTAATTTATTTTTATAAAATTCAGCTATTTTCTTGAAATGATCTCCGCGGCCGATTATACGGCGTATCAGTGGACAGTACACTATCACCGTTCTATTCTTAATATGATATTCTATTCAGACTTTTTAGAAATCTTCTTTATAAAAATTAATCTATTGCGAATCGATTCACAAATATGAAAGAGATGATGAATGACAGTATGAATCATCGTTTGTTTAAGCTCTTTTTCTAAGAAGTGAATAAAATCTGTATCGATAATTGTCTATGTAGAATAATAAATATTTTTATTTGTAACTTTAAATTTTCTTCACATCTGTACATCGTACTAAAACTTGTTTGTTTTCTTTGATTAATAATATCTGCATATAAAAAATTTTGAAACCTATGCTACCATATAATCAATTTACATATGAAAAAGAAAAACATACACGAATAGGACATATTGTTGAACGACGAAGAAATCGAGAAGACTCAAAGTTGTTCAAATTCGTATTAGTGACAATAACAGCATAACCAGCTGCTCGAGCTCGTCGAATATATTCCATTTGTGAACCAATTTTTAAGCCTTCATTGATTATTAATCTGATAGAAAAATAAACTATCTAAAACAAATGAATAAAGCAATCGATTTACTTTCGAGACCATTGACCAGCTCGTACGACTCCCGTTCCATGAATAATCACCATAAGATAATCAGCAGTTGCTAAATCATTACTTGTAAAAATAAAACTTGTATGTTCACTTTTTTTGGCATCAACCTTTAAAAATAATCGATAAGTTTATTTTTATCGAATAAAATAAAAAAAAATTCAAATTGAAAATATTTTTTTATCTTAATTTATAGACATACTGGTACTGTAACACGTTGTAAATGACATGTTTTCTCAAGTAGTTCAAATACAGCATTGTCAACTAATTTACCAATTGTTTCATATCGTTTTTGATTTTCTTCATTGTCTGAAAAGACATCGAACTTAAATGGTTTATCAGTTTCAATGGAGACTAGTTTGCCATCTATTTAAACAAAAACAAAAAAAAACATAATAGAAAAATACAAGTAGATAAAAAAAAAGTTGGATTTTCATTTACAAAATCAATGATAATTGAAAATTATGTGTCGTAATTTTTCTATCGAGACTTAATTCAAAAGATGCACGATGTTTATTTTGAAGTAACAGAAACAAAACATACATCCAAAAGATATTATAAACAATAATCCAATAAAGTATGCGAAGGAAAGTTAAATTTACACATCTTTTTGTTGTTTGAGATACAAGAAATTGAAAGTATCTAGCAGTAAGTCTAGTTGATTAATAAACCTAAGCCGACGAGCAATCAAATTTATCCTATTTTACTTTCATGCTTATGTACCTTCTAAAACTGTAACAATATTTTAGTCCTTTTAGTCTTTTTGGATGTGAATGAAACATGCTCATTCACCCATACGCACATTCAACTGGCGTCCAAGAGAGTTCAACGATGAGAAAAAAATCAATACAGAATGACCTGTTGTAGATTTTGGAACACTACAAATTTCTTTCTAGTATTGCTTTATAAAGCAAATATGCAATGAGTGATGACGAACTCTACTGAGCTAAATATACCTATACAATACCTAAAATATTTCATAACGTCTATATGTAAAATATGTATATTTGAATAAAATCTATACTAAAAATTTCAATTTTAGTATATCTATGAATCTCTTATCTTACGAGGGAATATTCCCAAGTGATGCGCTGCGTTTTGACTCATTCACATCTCATTCGAAACAGTATATTGAGATAAGAAAAAGCCTAAAAGAATTCGTGCCCATGGTCTACTGGTGAAGAGTTATGACCGTTT